TTTGAGCACTAAGTGCTGTAAAATCCATCTCGGCTGTCATAATCCAGATCTTTGTTTTTATGGGTATTTCCTCAAATTCTTGAAGATGCAACAGTGTTCTTAAAACAAGAATGGTGTGGATTTCACCATTTACAACAACTGCATTGGCAGTGCTTTTCATAATAACATTGATTGTGTGAATCCCCTCCAGCACCAAATCATGAATTCCAGTAGAAAATACTGCTTGTGGAAATCTTTCGACAAAATCAAAGCAGATGCCTTTCTGGGAGAAAGTGTGAAGCATTCTTGCTTTCAATCTCTCTCCACTGTCATCATTTATGAAAAGCACCCCAATCCATGTCCACTGAAAATGTAGCAGTAGCTGGACAATCCCCATATACTGTTTGTCTCCATATGGGAACATCTGGTGCAAAGAAACTCCATGGGTTTCATCATTTATCGCTGGAGCAGAGCCATACGTAAGCTAAAGAAAATAACAGTGAAAGTTAGAGAGACAGTAAGGATAGCTCTGAATTAAAATGTGTTGCTGCAATTCCTAAATTGTAAGGCTTGTCCTCCAAAACTGTCCAATCCAGCATTCAATGTGCATTAGGAGCCAATGAGATTCATGTAAAGTACAGCTTTTTATTTCAATCACAATCTCCAAGACTCCCGGCAAAACTATATATAACAGGCATATATATAACTCTAAGGTACATTATACCTGGAGAATCTTATAAATGCACAGGATGGTTGCAATGTAGAGGCATATATCAGAATTGGGTCCCCCAATGACTGCAACTGGACTATTCTGAATGTCACACTTGTAGTTTGGGATAAACCCGCCTGGTGTAGACAGAAGTTCCATTGAGGCAAGGTAGGTCCATCTTGCATGGAAATTGCTGTTGTAGATGTGGAAACCCATGGTGACATTGGGTAATATCTGGGGGTTTTCATTTATCTCTTTCACAGCAAATTGCAAGGCCAGGATTTGCTGGTAGCTCTGAGTTAGTACCCTACAATGAGAAATAAATGATGCACCATAGTTTATCTTCTTCAAAATTTGGTATTTGCTACATTTCAGTCCTTCTATACACTAAAAACTTTGCTCTAAGATAGATCATTTGGACTAATAATAATAATAATAATAATAATAATTTATTATTTGTACCCCGCCCATCTGGCTGGGTTTCCCCAGCCACTCTGGGCGGCTTCCATAGAAACCAAAAATACACTAAAATATCACAGATTAAAAACTTCCCTGAACAGGGCTGCCTTAAGATGTCTTCTGAATGTCAGGTAGTTATTTATCGCTTTGACATCTGATGGGAGGGCGTTCCACAGGGTGGGCGCCACTACCGAGAAGGCCCTCTGCCTGGTTCCCTGTAGCTTTGCTTCTCGCAATGAGGGAACAACCAGAAGGCCCTCGGCGCTGGACCTCAGCGTCCGGGCAGAACGATGGGGGTGGAGACGCTCCTTCAGGTATACTGGGCTGAAGCCATTTAGGGCTTTAAAGGTCAACACCAGCACTTTGAATTGTGCTCGGAAACGTACTGGGAGCCAATGTAGGTTTTTCAAGACCGGCGTTATGTGGTCCCTGCGGCCGCCCCCAGTCACCAGTCTAGCTGCCGCATTCTGGATTAGTTGTAGTTTCCGAGTCACCTTCAAAGGTAGCCCCACGTAGAGTGCATTCTACGGATATTCTATATTCTATATTCTATATTCTAGGAAGTGGGGGGAAACTTTTCAGCACATAGCCTGATGGCAAATAAAAGCTTGGATCCTAACCACTCCCATCCCCCAAACATGTCACCCTAAAGGATTAGGTTAATATCCAAAGCAGGATGAGAAGTGGCAGTAGGAAGAGGCTGCAGGAAGAAATGGATTTACTAATAACATTCTGCTTCTGCCAGGAGTTTTAGACTCCAGTCACAATCTGGTATCATCTTACATTAAGTGAAAACTATTATTCTAGGTAAAGAGGTGCTGGAACTCACCACGAACATGTTGTACCCCACTCAATATTAGTTGTAAGATTTCTTATAAATATTCCAATGCAAAATAAAATAAAATACAGTCTTCTTGAAAGTAAATCTCGCTGAAATCAGCAGGCCTTCCTCCCATTGTAGTGTGATTTGGATTACAGCCTGAGAGCTAAACAGCCTGAGAGCTATTCATGCAGTTAGTAATGGTTTCTCACCTTGTTTGACCTTTTGGTAGTTTACCTGGTCTATTATTATTCCTATTCAGTACAATGAAGAAAGTTGCCACTCTACAGCAGAATTCCCAACCCTGCGTGAAACAGATGCTTTGAACTAGAACACCCATAGTTCCCGCCATTGGCTGTGATGGTGTATAATGATGGAAGTTATAGGCCAAAAGGATAGTTAGGTGGAGTAGAAGGATAGGGAAGGCTGCTCTTGAAAAAATCCTTAAATATATTTTACAGGAAGAAGATTAGGAGATGGACTCTCTCCCTGAATTTGCACTGCTGAAAATCACCGTCTACATAGAAACAGGGTAGGGTAGTATGATACAAATCTATACAATGATGTAGAGACAAGAAACCATTTGTAATGCACTGAAAATAAAGTTGATTGCATTGGCTTGCCTGAGAATGTACATTTTGCAAAACAACAGAACAGAACGAAAACAACACAACAATAATATGGTTCCTTACATGATATTGTCAAATGCTTCATGAGAAGGATTTTCTTCAAATTTGATTGGATTAGGCAATATGTATATCTGAGAAATAATGCCAGCAATGATGAAATCTCCTACATGATAGCACTTGTGATGAGTAAGAATAGGGTGAGGGATGGTGTGCTTAACCACTGGAGAAATAGACATCATTTGGGTTATTAACACTAACACCAGTATCACAAATATCACCATCTTGCATGAAAACTCTGCCTTTTAAATATCAGCTCACTGGCTTCTACGTATATTGCCATCTGAGTGTCTTTGACTTGGACAACTTGACTTGAGTTTGCATGCAGTTGAAGCCAAAAACAACAACAACACACACAACGGAAGGTATCAGAAAACAGACATGAAACCATCTCTATTCACAGCTCTGTGTGACAGATGGGATTTTAATAGCATCCTTAGTCTCGGTTCACAGTTGTGGGAATGGTCATTGAATTCTCTGGGGACTAGCAGAATAACTAGATGTAATCATGGCTCATTGAAAATTACAAGGGAGACAGTCGCCTATGTAGCATTGCTGGATCTGTGTGACATAGCAGCAGAAAACATGTTTATCACAACTTGAGAGAAGTCTCCCCCAGTCCTGTTCAGTGGAACCAGCTCAGTTTGGTTCTGTGAGATATTGCAGAAGAAAAATTATTTAACACAACTGGAGAGGAGTCTCCTTTGGACATGCTCAGTGGGACCCAGCTGGTTTGTAATGACCCGTAGTAAGGAATAACAAACTTGAAGTAATGTATTCAAAAATGAATACTAACAGTAAAGAGGGAGTAGTTTGCAAGGTCTGCCTTTTCAAAAGTGGCATGAAGTCTTGCATAAGTTATGAACTTCTGCTATCAAAACTCAGTTGTGACAGCCAATAGGACTGTAATGAAAACAGGGCCCCTGATAAACAAGAGAGAGGTATCATGCTCAAGGCCACCCCAGGGTTTGTAAAAGTATGCAATCAATATTTTAAACATTTGGCCTAAGGAGGCCAAACCCCCTCCTCAAAAACATACAAAGCATACCTTGAATTTATGTTTTTCCCCGGTTACTGGCAGCGATTAATACTCAAATAATATTTGCAATACAGAAGACAATTGACTCTGTTGTTAGTGTTGATTTATAGTTATTGTTGTTGTAAGTTATATTTGAGCAGTGCACCAATTTACTTGTATTACTGCCTGATTTCAAGCCTAAGTAATAAAGATTTGAGATGTGCAAATCAGCTGGGTAATGGAATGGATAGATTTGCTTTGGGAAATGGCCACAGAAACCTTGTTCCATAGGTTTTATTTTGGTGAGAAGACATGAATGTAACTCTGCTGTGTTAAGTTGGGTTCTCTCCTAGCATCAGTACACTGTTTCATGGCATTTGAGAATATAAACCCACACCGTAAACAAGCTTCTGTTAAGCACAAGTCAGGCATGCCTCAATTCACTTAAAACCATGGAACAAGTTATACTTAATAATGAACTCCCAACATTTACAATGGGATCTCCCACTCTATCTCTGTAGAGTCTAGTTTTCTCCTGGTGTTTATTGTGCACTCTCTCTCTCACACACACACACACACCAGCAAAATGAAGACATGAGACAATGAATGGGTTGAACTATGAGCCATAATATTTATTTATTTACATCTGTAACATGCTTAACTAGCTGAAGTCAATCACCCAAACTCATGATAATATCTCCCCCACTCAGCCAAATAAGCAAACAGCCTTCAGATACAGTTGGTATTTGAAATGGGTAAAGTAGTATACAATAGATTAACATCTAAAGGGGTGGGTGTGTTTAAGTTCAATACATAAAGTGCCTAAAATTAACTATGTGCACCATGTTTGCTCTCATGAACAGTGTACAGAGGGGCCCTGTCAGTTCCATAAACTCTTCAGCTGTTAAACTTAACAGCCATTGAGACTGTTAAGGCTAAAGGAGTGGGAGACTCTCTGTTCTGCTTCACCTTGGATGAAAAAATCACTGAGACTTTGGCTTGGCTAATTCTGCATTAACCACTATGATGCTTCAGAATGTGTGAACAATCTCCCTTCCAGTGGCAAATTTAGGAATGACAACAACAACAACCCTATTTGCACAGCTAGGGAAAAAATGGATGGGCAGAGTTTTGCAATCTTGACATGCCAGAGGAGGTGTGGCTGCATCATACCAATTCTCTACCAAGACATGTAACTAATATAAACATTACCAAATGCCCCATTATTCATAGGGGTTAGGGGACCCCCTCGCCAACAATATGGGGAACAACATAGTCACAGATAACTTTATCTAGTTGAGGATCACGGACCTTTATGTTCCTTAATGCTTTATTCTAATGAGCTGTGCCTTGCTGTTCAGATCAGGCCTCACAACTATGATGTAGCATTTGGGGAAAAAGATGCAACCTAGTAATCCAGCACTAGAGGCCAATATGGAGAAGATCTCCACAGCCACCATGTATTTTCCTTTTGTGCTCAAGTAAGTTGGAACAAAGGACAACCAAACACTGCAGAAGACCAACATGCTGAAGGTGATAAATTTGGCTTCATTAAAACTGTCGGGTAACTTCTTGGCCAGGAAAGCCACTGTGAAGCTGACGAAGGCAAGTAAACCCATAAAACCAAGAACATAGTAAAACATGGTGGCTGAGCCTTCATTACATTCCAGTATAATTTCTTTAGCCATTGAGTGCATGTCTGAATCTGGAAATGGAGGAGAAGTTGCCAACCACACAGTGCAGATAGTGGCTTGAATCATGAAGCAGCACAGAACAATGGAGATGGCCAATCCTTTCCCCACCCATTTCCTCATACTGGATCCCGGCTTTGTGGCCATGAAAGCCAGCACCACAGTGATAGTTTTGGCCAAAATACAAGAAACAGCCATGGAGAAGATTATGCCAAAAGCAGGTTGTCGAAGAAGACAGGTCAGCTTCTCTGGCTGGCCAATGAATAGGAATACACAAAGGAAGGAGAACAGGAGAGAGATGAGGAGGGTGTAGGTGAGGTCTATGTTGTTGGCTTTGACTATAGGAGTGTCTTTGTGCTTTATGAAAATTCCAAGCACCGAGACTGTGATGGAAGAAAAGATAAGAGCAAAAATGGAGGTGCTCATCCCTAATGGTTCTTCGTAAGACAAGAAGCTTATATCTTTTGGAAGGCATAAATCCCGGTCATTATTTGGGTATTGTCCACCATGGCACAGTATGCAGTCATCCATATCTGAAAAAACATTTCTCTACAGCCTTGCATATTGTACAATTCTTAAACAAGCATAATCAAGGATTCTTATTTGAAAGCCCTGAATTACTGTTCCCCCGGTTAAAATCTGAAATATGTTATTGAGTCATTCACATTCAGTTGTATTTCAAAGAAGCCATATTAATGGCCCAGGAGAAAACTGACATTTTAGACCACAGTGACTATAGGACACAGAATCCCATAACTGAAGAAATATGTTTTCCGCTCACTATCACTAACTGGGAATTCTAACATGGGGCCATCTGGTTGGAATGTGTAGTTCCTGTTCCCCATCTTGTTGATTAGGTACGGGCGTGTAGGTAGCTGTGCATCTAGCCTGACAAAGAACAGGAAATTACGAGGGCAATATGAGTTGAGGCGTGTCCTGTTTGCCATCTGTTCGACCCCCTGGGAACCCTGCCAGTCTAAACTTGCTGTACTTTGAAAGAGGGTGTGTGCAGAGAAGCTGAATGGGATTCAGATGTGGATTCAGATGTGGGCATTCTGAGGGAGCTCCATCAACCCTGTTGCCTGTCACTGTGAACTCTGGGGATTATATCTGAATTTGTTTGGGCCCTGAGTGAAACCAGGTTCAATGGGAGGAGTCCTGGGTGAGAGCTGGGAGACTGAGAGGTGACTGAAGGAAGTTGTAGTACAAAATATATTGAGGACACCAGCTTGGGGAAAGTTGCAGTACAGCATGATGTGCAATACGCACATGTAGGATCACTGCCAACAAAGTTCAAAAGCTTTATACACGACTAATCTTACCCTTCTTGTTTGACATCTTCCCTTCAGCGCATGGAATACAATCATAGCAGCAAAATTGTTTCCCTTCCTTCTTTTTTCTTCTGTAACCTGAACGACAATTGTCATTACACAAAGAAAGTGGCCGTGTCTGTCCATAAAAGAGGAGAGAGTAATTTATAATCCAATACTTCTATGGGGTTTGCATTGCAATATCTAAACCACTCCTCAAGAAATCATCGAAATCATCTTTGGATTCAGAAAATATAAGTACCGTATTGGCCCAAATATAAGCTGCACCCACCAATAAGCCGCACCTTTAAAATTTGGTGGCTTGGGGGAGGCTTGGGAGCCCTGGACGGGATGGGTGCTGTTGTCCCATGCTCCAGGGCTGTTTTCTGGGGGGAGCAGCACCACTTTGCCAGTGGCGTAAGGTTGCGAATATAGGCTACACTTTAACATTTCACAATCAGAATTTGGAAAAAAAAAGAGGGCGGCTTATATTCGGGCCAATATGGTAACTACAGGTCAGTTGCCAATCTCCCCTTCTTGGGCAGGATTCTTGAGCAGGTGTTTGCAGACCAAAATCAGGCACTAGGAGGAAACTAATTTTCTACATCCATTTCAATCAGGGTTGTTTAAGGGTATTCCGTTAAAGGAATCTGGGGTGTGTGGATCTCATCCGAAGCCCGGGGAGGGGCTAGGGCCATGCCACAACCCCAGCAGGAACCCAGGGGAGCTCGAGTCGATCTGCATCGGCAGAGCTCCCCCTATTGGTATTTTGCCCTTACCAGACTTCCTGCAAGGCGGACAGGAGTCAGATATAGTCTGTTGATGCCAATGCCTAAGCCAATACCACTCACATTCTGTAACCAATAAAGTTGTGGCCTAAATTTTGCCCATTAGCATTTAACCTAAAATTATATGTCCTTGTGTCTTTATTCTCCTGTGGTGGCTGGGGACCTTGACACGCAAAGTGCTTTGACCATATTACACTGATCCTGGCCTGACTGTATTGACTGCCAATTAGTTTCCAGGCCCCATTCATACTGGCTTTGACCTATAAAGTCTTAAACATCTTAGGACTACAATACGTCTCCCCATATAAACCAACCTGGACCCTGCAATCATCACCTAAGGCCCTTATTTGTGTGTCTCTTCCACAAGAGGTCCAGAGAATAGCAACAGAGGAACAGGGCTTTTCTACAGTGGCTCCCCATTTGTGGAACGCTCTCACCAGGGATGCTCGCCTGGTGCCTTCATTACATATCTTTAGACACCAGTTGAGAACGTTCCTCTTTAACCAGGCCTTTGGCTGATTATCATTCAATGGACTTTTAAATGTTAGTGGTTAGTGGGGTTAATGGTTTATTTTGCTTGTGCTTTGTTTTATTATGTATTTTGACTTTTCGTTTTGTATTTTTCATGTTGTGAACCTCCCAATGATCTTTGGATAAAGTTCACAAAATTAATTGATTGATTAAAAATAGGTGGGCGCTGTGGATTGGGAACCTATCAGTGTCCAGATATTTCTGAATTTCAACTACCAACAGCCCCAGGAAGTTCGAGGTTTATAGGTTCCTAATTCCTGTAATGGTATAATGCTTGAAAGCATTTAGCAGGCAATAGGCAGTTGAGCTCTATTACTGAAAACATATTTTCAAGTTGAAATATGCACAGTCATTACCTGATTAAAGCTACTGGGCCATACAATGTCATCATCTTGAAGAAAGAGGACTTTGGCAGGGGGAGCCTTCGGGTCTATTCTACCCACTTTCACTCTAAGGAAAGACTCATTTATGAAAGTGATCCAGTTTATAACATCAAATCCCGCTACTAATTCCCCTTTTTGGTTGAAGGACACCGTTTCCCCTGCGCTGTTGTTAAATGAGACACCTTTCAGAAAGTGGTGGAGCTAAAAAAGAAAAAGAGTATTACACAGTTCTCAATTTCATGATGTTCTATGATAAAAAATAAATAAATACATAAAATACATTTCACTATATGATTGTGCTATTGCACCACATATTTTAGTCCTATCTGCTCCTTAGATAACATGTCAAATAAGTACCTATGATCACCTGGTAGCCTACCAATTGGTAGTGGATAAACTTCAGTTCTGTTCAAATCTACTTAACCTGGAATTGACTCATCAGCTGGGACAGAGCTTCTACCTGCTTCCTGGCAGGTGAAGACACTTGCTCAGCAGGAGGTGGGGAGAAAAGGCAGCAGAGAGGTCATTATGGTACAAACTGTTCCTGCTGATGTGTTTGAACCACACCAACCTCCTCACCCTCTCACATGGTAAGCAGCAGTGACCTATTTGCTGGGAATCTAGAGTAGCAGCTCCACCCCACCTGACAAGCCACTTCTGTCCCTGGCACTGGTGATATAACAATATTTTGAAAATGTAATTCTGGAAATACTTAAGGAAAGTTTCCATAAGTTCTAATTTAGATAGTAGCTAACACTTTTTAAAATGAATCTACAGTATGTGTGTATATTGCCAGAAACCTTCCAACACATATCTTTTTGAATAATATATGGAAGAGTTGAAGTTAGCAACAGCTCCTTTTCAGCTACTATTGTTACTGAAAATAAATGACTGAATATATTCCAATGGTATAATAGAGGCAGCCAAGGTGCTTTCCAGATATTGATGACTACTACTCCCATTATTCATGAACACCATCATACTGACAGGGGCCGACGGAAGTTGAAGTTCAACAGTATCTGCAGGGCTTGACACTGGCTACCCTTAGCATAGCAGAATGAATGAGGGGAAATAGCTTTTCCAACTAAGCTCACTTCTTAAAGAACAGAAGTAGAAAAGGCAGAATACCAAACGGGTTTCTTGAAAGGAGAAGCCTGTGTGTGTGTGTAAACCATTGCCATAACAAGAAAATGCTCAGGCTTACACTTTTAGGTTTGCTTCTGCAATATATTAGGTTTTTAAAAATGGTGCTTAATTCAGTTCAGCAACTTTTCTCAACCAACCTTTTTTGGACTAGCACACATGTCTAATTTTGAGGATGTACTATGAGTGCCAGTCACAAAATGGCTGCCATGGGAGCAGGACACAAAATTAGAGAGAATACATTTATTTCTGATCTCTTTAAAAGTTATATGTAGGCTACTACTACTAGTAATAGTTACATACTCAATTTCAATATACAACAATGGCATAACATACACACCTGCACACTCTTTAGCACACTAGAAGAACAATTTGATCTTTGAAGTAGTGGGGTTCCATATTTGAATTAAAGGGCTGCCATAGCATTAAAAAATGGCTTCAAAGGATAAAACATGGCACGGCTATCCTAAAAAAGCTGGCTTCTATACTTAAACACACAGAGAGAGTTCTTTTTTTAAAAAATAATCAGTAAATCCAGAGTCATAGTAAAGATGCACAGAATTCTTTCCCTCATCAAAAAGAAGCAATATAGAAATGAATGGAGGCTCAGGAGCTGAACATATAAGAACACAGGAAGCTGCCTGTGTCAGAGCATTGCTCCATCTAGTTCAGCATTTTTTACACTGACTTGCAATGGCTTTCCAAAGTTTCAGATCTGGGTATCTCCCAACCCTACCTGGAGATGCTGGGCATTGAATCTTAAATCTTCACCAGCAGATGCTCTACCATTGAGACCACTTTTAGTGAGTTGTAAGAACAGTGTGATTCCCTTCATGCAATACATATTCATTAACTAATCACATAATGTTATATCTCTTACCAATAAATAATGGGTGGGATTCAACTAATGAGTTCCATCATCAGAAGCTGACACAAGGACTTTTGCTTGCGTAACAGGGCTTTCCTCTTCCATGTCCCCAAATTAGCTCTAGAGGGCAGGAGAACCCTCAGAGCAGTGCAAGGGGAGAGGAGATGGATGATAGTCCCATTTGGCAAGCCAAAATGATTGCCCGGACAGAACAATCAGCATAGCACAATGTTGAAATCTTCCCAAAATCGTGAGTTTTATAATATTGGCATATACTGATTAGGGACGATAACCAAAACAACCATGATCATCACTGTCATCTTACTGTGAAGAGGAATGCCAATAAACTGATGAGAAAGGGATCTCATGACAAAAGTACATTTTGGTAGACAACATTACAAGACAAAGGTAGCCAATGTTGTGCCCCTCCAGATGGTGTTGGACTCTAACATACCATCCCTGGCTATTGGACATGCTGACTGGGGCTGATGGAAGCTAGAGTTCCACCACACCTTCAGGGCACTACTTTGGCTTTGACTGTCCATGAACCCACAAACATTATGAGCTCTTTTGCATTCATCTGTCCATGATGTTACCTGCCACAGCTGTTGATTCAGAAGCTTTTGCTTTCCTTGTCTTCTGTGTTTAAATTCGGATAACTGCATGGCATGAAAAGCATGAGCCAGAGCATAGGCAGCATTGTAGATACCATAGCTGTGGACAGTCATGCCTATTTCAAAAACCGATGCAGGAAGAGTTTCCAGCTGCTCCTCCCCAGTGCAATTTTTCTCAAACTGCTTATCTGTCTTCGAGTCGGGGAACAAACAGCTAAATGTCTGCTCCCAGAAGATTTGGATAAATCCATCTTGCTTTCTTGAGGTAGGGCTTTGGTTTTGAATAAATTTCTGGAAGCCCAACACCTCATTTGAGTGAACTGCAAAGGACATAGCACCATGGAGGAAGTCTATATTCCACAGTCTTTGTATGTTGACTGATGTGAAATCCATTGGGGCTGTCATGATCCAGACTTTGGTCTTTGTTGGCAGCCCTTCATATTCTAAAAACTGGAGCAACATCCTCAAAGTCATCATGCCCTGGATTTCACTGTGTAAGACTAATACATTGGCTGTTGCTCCCATGATGACCTTAAGGGTTCCAACTGTTTCATCTACCAATTGATAAAAATCACAGTAAAAAGGTATTGCTGGGAATCTTTCTATAAAGTCAAAGCATATACCACTCTGAGAAAACACTGGAAGCACATTTTGTACAAACTTATTTCCATTGTCATCATCCTGAAAAAGCACTCCAACCCATGTCCATTGGAAATGCTGCAGTAACTGAAGAATGCCCCAATATTGATAGGACCCATCTGGAAACATCCAGTGAAAGAAAGCTCCTTGATTCTGGTCATTTAACGCAGGAGCAGAACCGTATGTGAACTATAGAAAATAACAGAGGGTGGGAAAGATGACAAGCTTATTTCCATACTGAAGTTTCTCTGTGAATGCATACTAACCAATAAAATGGCCAAACAGTAATGCAATGTTTGTCCCCACACGCCAACAAAGCTCCAATCCACATTTCAATTAACACAGCAGAGGAAAAAATATAAGGTACAAGCACACAAATTGTGCCTTTTAAAATGGGATTATAAGAAAATCCATGAACAACCATAGTTAAGAAGTGCATACTATTTTGATTCAGCACTCATACTGCCTTCAGTAATTGTTCCCTTGTTTTGATGGCCACAGCAAGGAACGTGGCTATATTTTCTTTGAGCTAATAACAACTTATGTAATAAGGAGAATTCAAACATTTCTTCATCTCTCTTATTGTGATGAGATCCGAAAACTACAGTTTTGGCAAATATGTCCTTTACTCCATAAACAGTCATCCCCAAATCAGTGCTCACCAGGTGTTGATTGACTATTTTATTTATCTTAAAACATTTCTGTACTGCCTTTCATAAAATCTCCGTGTGGTTCTTACAAGTTTACAGTAGGAGATTCTGAGAATACTTGCATTCAGGGTCTGCTTGATGAGATGGTACAGACCCAAGGGGATTGAATCCTATATCATCATGGAACTTCTTCAGCCAGCTTTCCACAGACACAAAGTCAAAATAATTTCCTAACACCACTGAGGGCTCATCCATACTGTCATTTATTGTGGATAGCAAACTTCCTGTACCTCCAATAAACCTCTGCTGTTTCTTTCTCATCACAACACATTCCCCTCCTTTAGTCCATATTTTCTCACACAAGGGATACTCCAAAAGGAGATGGCATGAGAAAATATGAATGTAGGGAAAGCAGTGATTTGGAGGAGAATGTGATATGGACAACAGAGAATTAATGAAGGTACAGAAAGCTTACTATCCACGTCAAATGACAGTATAGATAAAACCAGAGCTGCTTGCTTGGAATTAATTTACAACTCAGTGCCCAATAATGTAACACAGTATTGTCTACACTGACTGACAGCAACTCTCCAGGGTTTCAGGCATAAGTCCTTTTCCATCCCTACCTGGATATGGCTGAAACCTTCTGCCTGAAAACAGAGACTAAGCTGGCATCCTTCCCCTAAGATTCAGTTGGCTCCTAATGAGATTGAACATGTAACATCACACTCTAACCAGCAAAGCTAACCAGCTCAGTGTTACAGAGCCATAACTAAAAGGAAAGAGAAGAGTCAATGGCTTGTTCAGCTCCCACATTTCATGCACATATCTTACCTGGGGGATCTTGTAGTTGCTCAGGATGGTTGCCATGTGGAAACCTATCTCAGCCTCAGGTCCACCAATGACTGCTATTGTATTGTCCTGACCATCACATTTATAGTTTGGGACTGACCTGTCTTGTGCGGAGAGCAGCTCCAGTGAGGCAACATAGGTCCAGCTTGGACTGAAATGGCTATTGAAGATGTTCAAGCCTAATGTGACATTTGGTAAAATCAAGGGATTTTCATTGATCTCGTTTATAGCAAATAACAAGGCCAAGATGTGCTGGTAGTTCTGCGTCAAGATCCTAGAATGAAGAGTTGCAGGCTGCATCACTTTTAGAATATGCTACTTGCTGCATTTCAATTCAATATATAAATAAATATTACTATTCAAGGCTGTGTGTGTGTGTGGCATGTTTTGGTGTGATAGTTAGAACTCAGTATATATCATTTATTATAGGAAACC